CCAGGCTATAAATGCCCAGAAGGCTGACTCATCCGCTGATGCTTTACATCACTTGAGCATGAGCACCACACACAATTACGCTCACAATACAGACACGTTTATCAACGCAGCAGGAGTTCTGCAAATCTAACACCAACTATCACAATCTGAAACATTTAGATATTTGGCACATTTGACAGCAAATTCATACCAACATTATCTGCATAACTCAATGTTGCACGATGCTCAAAGGACAGAAGACATATTTACAAATACAGTCCCACTGTTATCAAGAAGAAAACTACTGGTATCACTCAATACGTTCTTATTTAACGTAAGCACATCAGAGGTGTAAATTAAAACATAGAATTTTTCATTCTGCCTGTTAAGAGGTGAGTATCGTTACTCCTATTTTACTATCACAGTAAACATGGTACAACATGGTCACTGATGCAGATACTAAAGCCCAGCACAGCCTACAGTGTAGTATTCAGACACTTTTGTTGTTTGCTATTTATTATACTTCCATATACGTGTTAGGGCTGGGCGATAAAACGATAACGATAAGCATCGTGATAACTTTTCCTTGATAGAGCGATAAGACAGGTTTGATAAATGTTCGATATAATACACCACTCTCACACTTCCACGTTTTAGCGAAAGGCCCTGGTGGCGTTTTCTACCGCAAGGAAAGCGACACTACTCCGCTGTCGCCAGGAGAGGGCGCACTTCCGAATTTTTCGACTTGATTAGAGAGGGAGGGGGCCACGAGTAAAAAAAGGGTCGCCAAATATACTTTAGCAACGGCTGAAACGCGGAGTTATACAGTCCCTGTCTGAGCGGAGCGACCGGTGATCTGTTCTCCTGTGACCGAGTGTGAGTGACGAGGTCAGTGGTGTAACTGTACTGACCTACAGTGAACTCACCTCTTTCCGTGCATCCTAACAACTTTAGTGGTGTTAAATCACGTCTACAGGGCCGTGTTACAGCGCCAAACCATCATATTTTAATATTAGTGCATTCTCGAGCAACGAAAGTGAAAGAAAGAAGTGAGTTCATGTTCGAAAGTAAACTGAGGAAGCTGTGAGGCATTGGAGAGCGGGAGAGTGCTAGGTTAGCTTTCCAGGCTAGCTGTTTTTAGCTGCTGGCTAACTTGAAGCAGCGCTCCGGCGCTCCGGCACAACATGGTGAATTGATGATACTGTAGATCAAACAAGACACAAAATCACCGCTTTCAGTTTAAACATACCTGAAAGGAGGACTCTGTGACTGGTGTGAGAGATTCACACTGCAGATAATGCTTTTACACAGCGAGCGTCAGATATACTGCGGTTCACCCCTTAAACTACTACGATAGCATAGAGAAATCCAGCCGTCTAGCTGGTGTCCGAATACTGTGATATGCTCTGACATGGATGTGGTAGGAGTGACAGCAGTGACCTCCCGAACCGAGTTGTCGTTGTTGAGAAACTAAAGAGTTTAGCACTGTTGTTGGCCACTTGTTTAGCATCTGTAACAGGATAGCCGAGCGCTCGTCACCAGACAGCTAAAATAATCTGTTTTCTTTTTTAAATTATGACTATTACAAAAATTGCAGCTGTGCTTTTCCAGCTGATAAAAACAGCTCAGACACTTTCTCCCACTGCCCCAAGACAGATTGGTGAAATGTTCCACTGTTTGCCGAGTGTTTGTCATGATCGGACCATAAGTGATTAGTTTAAAACCACAGTTAACCACCCAGGAGCAAAATCAGCCTTCAAACATGAAAAAAATCATGATTTGACATTTATCGCGATGTGTATCGATATCGAACGATATGAATTTTGTTTATCGTGATAACGTTTTTGGCCATATCGCCCAGCTCTAATACGTGTATATATATCCACTTCAAATTCATCCAATATGTGTGGGGGCAAATCTGACTGAAAAACGAGTGCACACAAATTTCACCAACAGTTTTGTTTTTTAATTTAATCTTTGGCGAATCTGTATGATCAAACTCACATCTGGTAGGATTGTGTGTACATTTGAATGTATTAGTTTAACAACGTTAAAATAACACTTGATTTGTGGTTAAACTTACCAAAACTGTCACCAATATCATCTTTAATAACAATAACAGTCTTTTCATTTAGTACTTTTACATATGAACAAAATAAAAACGTACTGTGAAGACAGGTGTAAAAGAAAAAAACTCAACTGACAGATGGAAAACAGCAGTCAGACATTACACTAAAAAAAAAAAACAAAAATGTACATGCAAAAGTCACATTAAACAAATTTTAGACATTAATCTTGCAAAAATGCTCTCATGCACCTGATATAACTATAAAAGACACTGCAGTTGGTTAGGAACACTTAATGCAATCTTGGTGAAGGTAAGTGGCTTCCTAATTAAACAAATAAATTAATTAAACCACAATGCTGTAACAAGCATGTTATGTCTTACCATACACAACTCAAAGCTGTCAATGACAGCTCTGCAACAAAGTCACATTATTAATCTGTGGTGACCAAATGGCGTCCTCCGGCCCCCGTTAATTTTGGTTTTCTTTTTGTTAGTATATCTTCGTTTATTCCTACATAGTTTTTCGTTTGTATTTAAGTATAGAGTCGAAAGTCAAAAGACATTGTGCGTAAATCTGAAGTGGATATATGCACTACAAGGAGATTAAATAACAAAAACCAATGTGTCTGAATACTTCGTCTCCCCATATTGAATATAATGAGGGCTTATAATATTGTGAAAACAACTATAAGAAAGACCAACAGATGCCTTTCAACCTAAGTGTTATATTTCTGAACACAGCTAGTAACCAAAACAATTTCTAAAATGTATTGGCCAGTACGCTGTCCACAGGCTAACTTTGAGTAAAACAAAACAGGACAATTATTAGTATGCAGTCCTAGAGGTCTAAGATGAGTGTATTTCTGCTCTGTACCCTACACGTGCAAATATTTTGCCACTCTTTAGTTTTATTCTTCATCATATATTCTTTTTAGTCCGCATAAGGTTTAAGGTGAAACCATATGTCCTTTCACCAGTGTCCTGTAAATTTGACACATTGTCAAGTCTATATTTAGTGTTACTTTCTTCCGCTAGTTTTGGTACGACTTTTGTTTCTAGTGTTCTTGTTTTGAGTGGTAATTAAACAGCTAACACAAACTCAGTCACAGATACACTCAGGCACAGACATGCACAGGAGTATCTGCTTGGTGCAGCGAGATACTGCTGGCCTGGCGTTTTATGGAGGGCAAGTTACTATTAATGACAGAGCGGGGAGAGCGCGTGTGGGTATGAAACTACAGAAAGAGCTAATGTGTGGAGAGGGGATTGGACGTGTGGTGAACTCCCTGTCTTAAAACAGACGGCAGGACATGAGTGAGAGGGATTCTCCTGATCAGTATTTAAACCCACTCTCGGCTGGGAGGTCAAGAGGACATCAAGTAGCAGACTTCAAGACTTTTAAGGCCACCCTTAAAGGTCCCACATCATGGAAGACTGAACTTTGCTCACTTTTATGAAGTAAAAGTGTTTGAAATAGTATGTAAACACAGCCAAAGTTTCAAAATGCACCATTCACACCCCAGACCATGCAGTCTATACACGGAAACAAAGCTGCAAAAACAGCTTGTTTTGATTTCACTGTTTTCATGTTACAAAGACCAAAACATTTACATATATATCCACCTGTTTAGCCTACAGCAGGTTTGAGCCGCCCATTCACACTGAGGTTATAACGAGTGTTTAAGTCCTCATTTTCAGAATGAGGCACAATACAAGTCAGTCAATCAGAACAGAGCTCATATATCTTTTCTCAAAGTCTGAAAGGCATAAGCAACAAAAACAGCCTGTTTAATTCTAAAGGCTAAAGTGAGGTTGGACAACAGTCCCATAAAAATTAATTATAATTATTTTCGGTACACAAAACAATACAAATGTAATAAGTGGACCTCAGGGGAAGAGCTAAAATACAAGAAAATTTAAGGTAAAGGGTAATTTATTTTGGCAACATCCACAATACGCCAACAGCCCAAGTAAAACCGAAACGTGAAAAAGTTTACAACGTAAATATGGCAAAGACAAATGTACCTTCACTGAGAACTATTTTGTTTACTTTTGATATTTTACATTTAGTACACTGGGCATGTCTGTGGGAAATGTCTATCACACACTAAATCAACATTTTTAAACGGAGCACAGACAACAAGATATAACAATAGGGTGCCTGTTGCTTAGGACAGTGGGGGAACTTCAGAAAACAAATAATAAATAAAGGACTACTAATTCAATTTATTACACCTGTTTTAGTTTTTCCCAGCTGGACTGGGATGGTAGATTTTTTAATCTGCTGCCAAATCAATACAAAATGTCTCAATGTTATACCTTGCAACTCCAGGATCAATAATCTTTTGGCTGCGATTCAGAAAGGCAAAACGAGCTTCCTCGGACACAGAAATAAACGTTGATGGTTGCAGGTCTGTGCCACATGCAGTGATTTTTTAAAATACAATCATCTTTAAACAGATTTAAGTCTGGGTCTCTCCACTGCCACGGACTGGATTCAAATTTGCATTACACCATAGATCTAAATGTCAATTGAATGTGATGATATTTCCATTCCAGAGGATGTCTCAGCCTTTTTGCTATATGAGGCAAACTCAGTAGTCCTGGGAAACTACTGATATTTGATTATACCACACTTTGCCCACCTTCAATTCTCTGTACAAGAGATACAGATTAGATTTCAGTAAAAGAAGAGAAAAATTATCTACCTCCCATTCTGCATAGAGGCCTCCCCAGATAGTGAAGACGACAATTATGAGACTGTTCTCAAGATCAAGTCAGCCATTCAGTTAGGAATTCATCCAACAACTGCAACTAAGCCTCTGGTCTTATCAAAGACAGCTGATCTGGATACTCTGAAAAAGTTTCTTCATGCTGCTGGCGTCAGTGCTGATTTTGTGATATGCAGTAGCCAATGCCTTGAAACGAGACAAAACCAAAGCTATCGACTCACCTGAGCATGAAAGTTTGCCATAGTAGTTGTCTCGATGTCCTTCTTCCCCAGGATCTCCATTTTGACAGGCGAGTTTGGGAACTTTAAGGAGAAATATTCCAGGAAGTCAGGGAGGTAGGAAGCGGCTCCGTGGATGATGCCCATGACGTAGTGCGCTGCGTTGTTCTCGTCTTCGCAGAACGCTAACGTTACAAACTCCTGCGCAAACCTCTGCATCTCCTCTGGAGACAGGACAGAGAGCTCCCGGCTGTACGCGTGCAGCACCAGCGCACCACCGTTCGGCTGCTGCTCCACGTGGACGAAGCGGCCAAATTCCAGACCATCCAGCCCTGGTAGCCTGGAGTGCTTCGTGGAGCCAGTATCCCCAGCTCCGGAACCAGACTTGGAGCAGCAGTTCTTGTCCTGCTTGGCACCGACAGTTGTGGAGGAGAGGGCGAGGGCATTAGAGACAGGAAGAGGGGATTTGAATTCTGCCTCGGATTTGGACAGCAGGCCCGGGAGGTCCGGGCTCAGCAGGGCCGAACACAGTGTCTGGCTGGACTTGCTGTACATCTTCGGACGCTTCCGTTTCTCCCCTTCTTTGTGTTTCTTTTTCTTTTTCTTCTTCACTTTTTTAAGCAACAACTCCTCTGAGTTTACCTTCGGTTTCTCCATGTCACCTAGAAAGAAAAGAGGGGACAATTAAATTTGTGTTAAAAAAAAAAAAACAAAACAAAAAAATAATAAATAAACGCTGAAATCTGAATGTGCTCTGAGAGAAATCTAGTTAACCCTTCAGAGTTAGCTTCTGTAATGTGATCTGATCTTCATCCAAGTCAAAATAATAAGTAATAGTTTGGCAAGAAATCCCAAAAATGTAACTCTTTGGTTTTGTAATCTATTGCACATGTGAATGGGCCAAAATACCTAAGAACCACCAGGCAGGTTGGCGGGTCAAAAGCATTTGGCTAGGGTTACTGCCGACAATGAGGTTACATTGACTATTAAATATAAAAAAAATTAAACTATTTAAACCCCTTTTTTCAATAAAACATGGACACACAAAACACTGTCTAAACTTAAAATGTGTCAAGAACAAAGCTGGAACTGAGTGCTATTGCATTCTTTACCAAAGATCCTTGATTTGTGTCCATTATGGACTGGCAGCAGCCCGAGGGGGGTGCCATTTGTCCTGGTTTACTACAGCCTAACAGGACAAAGGAGAAGAACTGGTTTACATTTCCACAGAACTGTGACTGATCATTTCCCTACATTCACTCAGATGAGCATGTCACACCTGCCAAGTGTGAAGCTGAATCTTCTGGAACTTGTCAGAAGTGGAAGAGGTGTGAAAATGATCTGTGTTAGCAGATCCATACATGAATTGTGATCATGTTGGAACTCTAGGAACCATTTTTCTCCCTTTTCCACCAGACAGAGCTCCACAGAGACAGAGCAGAGCAGAGGATGCAGAACAACATAACACTTAATAATTTCTATCCAATTAAGACTTAAGCACCAACGATTAATGAAGTAACCACAAATAATCTGCTACTTTCTTAACCTTTCTGAACCTAAACTGTACTGGTTAATGCTGTATTTTGATGCGTGTCTTATTTGTCATCATGTGCTTAATATGGTCATGGACAAAAATAGCAGACTATAAAAAGCAATACAGAAGAAAAAATGTCCAATAGCATAACTGTCAAACACAAAAAACACAACAAAACAGGCAAAACAGGCTTCAGTCAGGGAGGGAGATGTTCTTAGGGGGAAAAGTCATTTATAACACAGCTCTGTAGAGAACTGTGGTTTTGTTTTTGTACTGCATGGCTGGATGACTGACACTGTGTGCTGGTTTTCTCTCAACGCCATTTTTTTTAAAATGATATATTCTCTGTGCTTATACTTCTATCTGATGAACTTCGTGTGAGCACTTTAGCACCCCTCGACTAGTTTTTGACACTGATGAGACTAAATGGATACCGTTAGAGTATTCTGTGTGCTTTTACTTTAAACAACACTAGGGCTGCAAAAATATTTGATAATATTCAATAAATTCAATAATTAAAATACTTTTTTAAAAAAGGAAACAAATTCAAATAATCAGCACTTATTTTTATGAAACCACAAAATTCAACAGTGGTTTACTTCCACAGGAAAAAAAAAGTTTATTTAGTCATCAGTAGCGCACATTTCCAGCTACAGACATATAGGAGATGTGGAGACAGCATCAGTTTTGTCTACATACATGTAGTGATGTCAACATAAATGCTACTACTTTGGACTGCTAGCGAGCTTCCATGATTTCAGTTGTGTTTATTCTCAATAGTAAAAGAGAGTATGCTGGCTAGTTGGCTGTTGGGAGCAGCAGGAAAATGTCTTTAGACTGCACCAAGCCTTAAAGCCGACGTGGCTGTGCTCTGGTGAAAAGCGTTTTCTAGTGGCTTAAATACCTTGATCACTCGCTTGGACTTCCTCTGCTCTCCTACATCGCTCATAGCAATGCAACAGTGCACAGTACACTGTCGAACCGTCCGCACATGTGAACCAATATGCCTGTTATTTACCTTACTCCTTATTTCCTTAATGCGCTGCAGACTACATGCACGTTGTACATTCAGATCCACAGAACATCTCTGGAGTCTATCAGAACTTCCCTGGTGCCTATCATGCAAATACGAGCTGGAGGAGAGAGGGGAAACTAAAAACCAATAAACCCACAGCTCCAGCGTGACAATGGCGAGCGCTAACGGACAGAGAGGACAGCACTGCGCAGCGTCCAAAATTTGAAATCGGAATTTCTTTTTAAAGGAGGTACGCACGCCGGCCCCAGCACTCCGAGTCAACGTGCAGTGGTGCTCACGTCTCCAGAGGTCAGTCTTTTAGGCAAACAGACAAATGGCAAGTTATGTCAGCTAACGTTCCTGTCTTAGCCTTTTTCAGCTCATATCTTTCAGCTCTTAATTCCCCAACTCTATGAAACATCATGGCCAAAGCTAAGAAGTACTTTTAATTTTAATGTATTTCTCTCCTTGAGTTCATGCAGTAGCGACAGAAACCAGCCCTAGTCAGTCATGCTGCAATTTTTCTGAATGGAAAGTTTTATTTGTCTATACAAGAGAGTTTATTGTTTAAAAGCTGATGTGTTTTTCTTAAACAAAGATACTGAAACCGTACCTGTATCATGGCAAAAAAACGTGATACATACCGAACTGTGGGCCCCCTGTACCACTGCACCCATAATCACTCATTACTGAAACTTTTAGATGCCACCAGCAACCAGTGCTGGCAGATTCGGCAGGATCCCCCAGCAAAGCATTTGTGTTCATTACTATTATAAATAACTGTCTGTCAGTGATGTTTTCCATTACCTTGCAGTACTTCAATTCCATTTCATTTGCATAAATATATACTAAAATAAACAGAATTCATGCAATAGTAAAACCACAACATAATAATAATAATAATAAATAAATAAATAATAATATGATGATTCTAACAACAAGAAGAATGTTTTTAAAAGTATATTTAGTCCCTATTAGGCTTTTTCATTCTTATAAAATGCAGAAATATTCAATATAACAATTGACAGAATATTCAAAAATAAAAACATTTAATAGTTGCAGCCGTAAAATTATAAAAATGTTAGACTTGGCAAAGGCATGAGCTGAAGAATCTCTTCAGAAACACAGCACATTGAGAAGCAGGAGAACATCTTTTTTTTTTTTCAATGTTAAACAGTCATTTATTCATTCACCACAGTACTGAAAAGTCACGATTTCTAATTCTCTACTACAATAAGCGTAATCACCCAGCCCTGAAAGGGAGAGAGAGAGGGGGATGGTTGTTTTACAAAGCGATAGCTGCTAATCCTGCACCTCTCCAGTACCCTTCCCCCCTTCATCAGCCCCATTCACAACTGGGACAGCAGTCCAGACGATTACTTAAACAGACACAGCTCATAAAGAGCCATGTTGTACACAAAGGTGCATGTAGACAATGAACAGCACCTGACCTCCGCAGGACGAGTGAGGAGAGCAAGGATAAACGCTAATGCTCCGCAGTTCTTCAGAGGGATGCAGTGACACTGAAGATAGCTGCAAAACTTCCTCTTATCTTGAGAGAGCATTTTCTACTACAGGGAATCCACCCTTTCAGGCAGACCCAGCCAAAACGAAACCTTAAATTTAAGGACAGCATGAACTTCCCTCACACTGTTTCTCGCCCAAAGCTACAGGGCAGAATAACTTTCAGCTCACAGCCTGCTACCTCTGCCGATCTAATCTTAGCCAAGCTAAGGTGCGGACGAGCATTATGGCTTAAGCCTGCTCATACAAAAACACAGCTTAAAGTGTCTCTCTGAGACAACACAGTTATCTGCCCATAACGCCTAAGACAGGGTACTGATGGCAGCCCATTAGAATTTCATACAGCAGCAAAGTCACAGTCACAGTCACAGTCTTTTATCTGAAAAAAAACAACATAAAATAGCCAAGGCTCTCTGGTTAATCATCAGCACAAGATTCAATCAATCCTTTGTCCATCAACACTTGGCCATTTAATAACCTTAAAGGGGAATTCCACTAATTTTTCAGAATTTCTGCTTAATTAAATCATTAGGATGGAAACAAAGTAATTCAAAATGGTCTGATGTAAATCACCATTAAGAAGAGAAACTTGCCAAGTAAAATTGGTGGTGATGGGAACCAGATGTATGATTCGTTTAATGCCTCTAAAGCTACCTCACAGGAAGCTATTACACAAAATGGTTATAAATATGCTGTCCGATGCCTGAGATAATGTTTTAGACTGCTTTAACATAATCTTTTGGGCTAAAAATCATTTTTTTAAAATCCATTCATTCTGAAACAATTTTATACCATTATCATCATTATTATTATTATATTATTATTATATTATCATTATTATCAACATTACATATAAAAAAACACAGAACACAGATGCGTATAAGTTTACTGGTCATTCTGGACAGTAAGCAAAACGTCTATTTTTGCTGTACAGTTCCCATCAACAACGTAAAGAAATCTTTAGCAAGTTTCTCTACAATGAATCACATCAAACCACTCAGAATGACTTTGTTCACATCTCAACCACTGAATTATGAAGACTGGAAAAATGTGTGGAATTCCCCGTTAACAACTATGAATAACATTGCGATGCCCTTTTCATTGTTGTTGCCCTTTCCACTGCACATTGCCACAAGGGAATAAAAGACAGCTCAAGCCTTATCAAAAGAATGTCATTGTTAAAATGGCTTTATCAATCACTGTTCATACTGCCAGTTTGTGATGGGAGAGTTTTGGGTAGGATTGCACAATGTACCATTTTATTATCACAGGTGACATAATGAGAATAAAACCAGAGTGGCAAACACAAGGGAAACAACTAAACAACTATGTCAATGCCTTGTACTAGACTGTAAAACGAAGTGCTGTTAGGTCAAGGGCAGGGGTGGGACTGGGGGTAGGGGGGTTGTCTGTTACCAAAAAGGGGAGGGCCATCTGTGGTTCAGCAACAGTTCCAACTTAAAGGTGCCACAGAGTTGAAAACTATTTACATTGGCGTAGTTTAATAAGAAGAGGAGTTCAGTACATGGAACTGACCTACTGTGAACCTAAAACACTGTTGTCTCCTTTCTCAAACGCAAACATAAAAT